TGGGGGGGGGGGGGTTGGATTTTTTTTTTTTTTTTGTTTTGGTGGGAAAATTTTTTTGGTTTGGGGTTCTTGGGTTTGTGGGGGCTTGGGGGGGGGGGGGGGGGGGGGCAACCTGCCGATGAAGGTTGTTGTTGGAACCGGTCCAAATGGACGCCGCACGAGAGTTATGGTTCTACTGTATCGTCTTGGGGGTGTTTGTTGGTTGGGTCGTGAATACATGGACCGAACTTAGCCCCAACTCGGCCAGGGCAAACTGAACAGGAAAGCAAAATGATGCTGCCGTTGTGTGGGAAGAAGAACCGCCGAATGTAGCAGCTGAAGAATCCATCGTGGTGGTGTATCGTGTGCCGCGCGTGTTTGCAGGTGGTGAGTCGGTTCCTGTCCCTCCAGAACACGGGGCTTTACCGGGTGGCCATCTACACAAACAACGTCACGGCCCACGACATCGCAAGGTGAGATAGGTACCGCAGGTTGCTTAAGATACCCTCCCCCCCTGTGCTCGCTCTTGAAGCTCAAATACTCCACGACGACGAAGATGAAGAAATCGAACGATACATATATTCAAAAATCTATCGACGACGTGGTTCCAACGACGCCATTTTTTTCGGCAATGTGGCTGTGATTGCTGTAGAGTACTCGAGATTTGGGAATCGGTCCAGGGGGGATTGGCGGTGTCTTACGCCATGCAGCCTATGGTAAAACCAGGCTGTTGAAGCTGATCACTCGCTTGCGGCCAGCGGAGCGAGTGGTCCACTGCTTGGCGAGGTTAGATCAGCGAGCGCAGCCGAGCAAAAAAAACTCTTGAAGGACCCAATCACCCATTTCCAACAAGCGGGGTTGGGGTGGGCCGGGACGTGCCGGGAAAGCTAGATGAGCGGTAGGAGGGAGCCGCTGCCTTGAATGAATAAAAACTCGAGTTGAAGCTGTGCTGGCAGAACAAAGACGCCCCAAGTGGTAGTGCACAAGAGGCTCGTGGGTGAGGCGACAAACAGGCTCTCTGCTGCCGGCAAGCACCACCCACCCAACCCCACCCCGCCCGCCCTCCCACGTTCTCAGCCGAATCATGCGCAAAGAGAACTACCTGATCGCGATGCTGAACAAGGAGATCCTGAAGCTTTCCCTGCCGCTACCGTTCTTCGGGAGCCGCGGTCGAGGGACCCTGTGGGCCACGACGGGGCGGCAGTACCTGACCAAGAGCCTGGAGTGGAGCATGCACTTCTGCGTGCTAAACCACATGTTTAGCGACAAGGTGATGTGCAGATGGACGAACGAAGTTGTTTTGCGATTTTACGAGTGAAAGAGATATCTCTGTATGTGTGTGTGTTGACTTTTTTTTTCTTCGCATCGACCGCGCCAACTGATGACCAATGAACAGACGTCAGTCTCAAGTGCGGCTGGTTTGTGTGCGTGTGTATCTTTTTTTTTCGCATCGACCGCGCTACCCGGCTGACGAATGAAAAGACGTGAATCTCAGAAGTGAGTACGGCTGAAAATATATAATGCTTCGAAACGCCATGATCTGGGACCCCGTTAGCCGGCGTGTGTGTGTGTGCGTGTGTATCTTCTTTGTTAGCATCGACCGCGTGGACCAACGCAAGATATCAGCCTTCAGAAGCGGGGGTGTTCCTCTTGCCTCGCCGTGCTTGGTTTTTCTCGCTGCGCGTGGAACGAATCAGTTCACCATCCGGACACAGTTCCTCCAGGATGTCCGGGCGCTCAAGGCCAGGCTTGTCCTGGTGGGCCTCGCGCACGTGGTGCTGCTGCCGTTCCTACTGCTCTTCATGGTGGTCTACTTCTTCCTGCAAAACGCCCAAGAGTGGCACTCTAGCAAGGTGAGATCGTATGGCGCCTACGCAAGATAACACACGCCCCGCATCATAAGATAGTATGCACACACACGCGATTACCACGCCCGCCGGTTAATATGTTTAGAGGTTGGCATGAGTTCAAAAGCATGAGTATACTCTCATATCAAGTAAGAGGGCGACATGAGATACATACCACCCACAAACAGTGGACGCGCAAGGGTTGTAGTTTGCTTTATTGTCCAAAATGTTGGATACCACCGAGAGGGGAGGGGTGTTTTCTTGCGTGATGTACGGTAGCTCACTGGCTCGGGGTTTGTGTCAGGTACACAGCTCCATGTGTGCCTGTCTCTCACCACTACGCGGCCTTTAACATGCCCACCTTAGTTGCTCGCACGATGTGTCTTTTATCACGCGTCGGAGCTTACGCGTGAGTGCGGCATAATATATGTCGTTTCGGGAGAGAACCCGTTGCACTTGACCGTGCTTGAGCCTCCCCCTCCCCTCTCTCATTTATCGCTCTTTCCACGAAACCATACCGAAAACGACAGAGCTATCTTGGGCCGCGCGAGTGGAGTCCCCTGGCGAGGTGGACATTCCGGGAGTTCAACGAGGTAGGGAAGGAGACGATCAGCAGTCGTGTGCGTACGGATGGTAGCGAGGGATGCCCGGTAGCAAATTTGGGCACCCGATTGGCTAACTCCCTCTCTCCCGTATCGCGAGTGGTGGATTGCCGTTCGTCTGGGTCTTGGTTATTGCAAGTGTGATAGACCAATTTTGGTGGTACGACTTTTGATGATGCGTTATGCATCGGCCTGCTGGTGCTGTACTCACGACACGCCTTCGACCCCAGCGGTAGTGGTCAGAGATTCGCCCACCCGTGCTGTTTGCTTGACGCATCGAAATTACTGTACTGCGGTACAAACGAGGGCGCACTCTCCACTCTTAGCGACAGGGTGGCAGGAGGGGATTCACTATCATTGCTCCCGTGTGTTCTGAACAATGTTGACGACTGCGGCGTGTACACCCACATAACTGCTGTCTGACGGCCCCCCTTTTCCTCTTTGCCTTTTGATTCGCTACCGCCGCTCCGTCTCCCTTTCCTCCCCCCGTCCCTCCTCCCCTCTCTGTTCCCTTCCCCGAACGAAGCTCCAACACTTCTTCGAGCAGCGCATGTCGGGCAGCTACGTGCACGCGAACACCTTCCTGATGCGGTTTCCCAGGCCGGTGCTGGCATCTCTGATGCGGGTGACGCGCTTCGTCTCGGGGTCCGTGGTGGCGGTGCTTCTCGTCATGACCTTCCTAGAGGTGAGGTGTCCGGCCACGATCTCCGACGTAGATGACGTAGATGACGGAGATCTATCACTACTGCTTCGTGGCAGGTGCCTCTCGTCGTGACCTTCCTACAGTAGATGTGAGGTGCCCACCCACCATCTCCCACGTAGATGACGTAGATGGCGGAGATCTTATCACTATTGCTTCGTGCTGACGGTGCTTGTCGTCATGACCTTCCTAGAGGCGAGATGTCCACCCACGATCTCCGACGTAGATCGGTCGCACTGTTGCCTCGTGGTGGTCTTGCAGCACCTCCTCCGGTCCAGCAACAGGGTTTTTCGACCAGTCCTCTGTCGTACAATTAATCTCGATCGGCTTCCTCTCTGAAACGGTCATTCCCGTATTTTTCGGGCTGCTGTGTGGTAGCTCTATTATAGGAGAATCTCGACCAGTATGTACCCTACTGCTGCATTGTATGCCGCCGAAAACTCAACCAATCTATGGTGCAATCTCTTTCCATCTAGGGCTACTCTGTACCTCCAGAGGAATCTCGACCACTGACCTGCCGCTGTGTTGTATGTCGCCGAAAGCTCTTAGCCGCCCTTCTCTGGTGCAACCCACCTTTGTTTGCTGCCTACCATATGGTAGCTTATGGAGAAATGTCGACCACTACCCTACTGTAGTGTACGTTGCCGAAAGCTCTCAGCCCTTCCTTGGTGCGACCTCCTTTGTTTTCAGGCTACAGTACGGCAGTACTGCTGTGTAGCCCCAGGGGAACCTCTACTAATTTGTTCGCCTGTATTAGATGTCGCCGAGCCCTTCTCTCTGGTGCAACCGTCGCCTTTGTTCTCGTTCTGCGTTACATATTACCTCCAAGGGAACCTCAACCCCACCATGCATCTTGTACCTTCGTTTATCGCGCCGACAGACCTCTCGACACCCCCAACGTTGCCCCGTCATTCACACCCGCGCCGCTCGCGTTATCTGCGTGTGTCTTTTTTGCTTGTGGTGGGGTTTCCAGGACTCTGTCCTGCTGCACGTGAAGGTCTGGGACCGGAACCTGCTGTGGTACATCGGCGTTTTCAGCGCCATCTACGCCTTCAGCAGGTGGGAGGGAGAAGGGGGGGGGGGGGGGGGGTCCTTCTCCCTCAAGGGTACAAAGAAAAATATAGCAGGCGCAGTACCATTTTTCTATTCTAGACTTGAGCCAACTACTTAGGTCGTCAGCGGATGGGGGAAACCGGACCTTGCGGCGGGGTGGTCTTCTCCCTCAAGAGGAAAGAGAATCAGACAGAGTGAGGTAACCAGGCTTGGAGTCAACGCGTGCACGGCGGGATGCGGCACGCCAAGATTGTATCGCCACCGTCGTCGTAGTACCCTACGCGGCCTCGCAACGAATCGTGTTCGCGTACATATGGATGCACGTTTAGTTGGTTCGATGCTGGCTGGCGAGCAATCGGTTTTTTGATAGCAGTGAAGTGAGTGCTGCGAGCATCTCCAGCCCGGGGTGTCCTCATTGCCCGTTTTGGTTGGGGTGGGACTGCCCTCGCGACGGCCGCGGACGCGGAGCGAGATGTTTGTGTTCGCTCTCGCAAGCTTCCCTGCGATACGGTAAACGGCGATCCTCCCCTTGCACTGCGTACAAGTACAACAAGGCTCCCAAGTGTGGAGAGTTCAAGCGCACCAACAATGATTTGAAGCAGCAAAACGACGCCATCAACATCAACGCTTTCTTTTCACGCCCTTTTCTTGTGTGTGTCTGGGCAGGAGCGTGTCGCCTCAGGCATCGGAGGTTCCTACCCTCCAGGAGGACTCCGCTGAGGAGGTTATGCTCAAGGTACAGGGGTATCCATCTATCGTGTACAGTAGTGCATGGGTAAGGTACAGGGGTATCTGTCCGTCGTGAATAGCAGTGCATGGGTAAGGTACACGGGTATCTGCCTATCGTGTATAGCAGTGCATGGGTAAGGTACAGGGGTATCTATCTATCTATCGTGTATAATAGTGCAAGGGTACGGATCGGGACGACGCCTTGCTTCGAATGCCGCCGTGTATTGAAAGTAAACACGCCGCCACCCGCTCCCCTCGGCGGCCGGGTTGTATGCCTTGCCCGGCACGCCCTTCAGAGTATTCAATCCTATGCATACGTGTGCGGCTGACCCTGGAGTGCATT